TTGCTCTGTATCTGCATCAGCAGCCGTACGAGAGCAGAGATCTTCCAGGGCCGTTCCCTGGCGTAAGGTGAGAGTTCGCTAAAGGCGTCGCAAACCTCTGGTGCCACGGCACAAGTAGCGCAATTCGATTGCGACCGGTGGAGTGCATAACAAGTTTGTTGTTTTTTTGTCGTTCCCCGAGTTGGTGACAACTGTGCTACAGTGAGGTGAAAAAAAGTATTTTATCCCCTGCTGATTTTGTACGTTTGCCCACTGGCAAAGAAATGATCGGTCTATAATTTTAATGGTAGGTTTATTTGAACAGTGAGAGACGGAATAACAACAAAATCCAGAAAAACGCATGCCAAAAATGTTATAAATTTATTTGCATTTTAATGAGGGAAATAAACATTTGACCCCTCTGCAAAACATGACTTAATACTTGGTGGCAAAACCCTTGTTGGCAATCACAGAGGTCAGACGTTTCTTGTAGTTGGCCACCAGGTTTGCACACATCTCAGGAGGGATTTTGTCCCACTCCTCTTTGCAGATCTTCTCCAAGTCATTAAGGTTTCGAGGCTGACGTTTGGCAACTCGAACCTTCAGCTCCCTCCACAGATTTTCTATGGGATTAAGGTCTGGAGACTGGCTAGGCCACTCCAGGACCTTAATGTGCTTCTTCTTGAGCCACTCCTTTGTTGCCTTGGCCGTGTTTTGGGTCATTGTCATGCTGGAATACCCATCCACGACCCATTTTCAATGCCCTGGCTGAGGGAAGGAGGTTCTCACCCAAGATTTGACGGTACATGGCCCCGTCCATCGTCCCTTTGATGCGGTGAAGTTGTCCTGTCCCCTTAGCAGAAAAACACCCCCAAAGCATAATGTTTCCACCTCCATGTTTGATGGTGGGGATGGTGTTCTTGGGGTCATAGGCAGCATTCCTCCTCCTCCAAACACGGCGAGTTGAGTTGATGCCCAAGAGCTCCATTTTGGTCTCATCTGACCACAACACTTTCACCCAGTTGTCCTCTGAATCATTCAGATGTTCATTGGCAAACTTCAGACGGGCATGTATATGTGCTTTCTTGAGCAGGGGGACCTTGCGGGCGCTGCATGATTTCAGTCCTTCACGGTGTAGTGTGTTACCAATTGTTTTCTTGGTGACTATGGTCCCAGCTGCCTTGACATCATTGACAAGATCCTCCCGTGTAGTTCTGGGCTGATTCCTCACCCTTCTCATGATCATTGTAACTCCACGAGGTGAGATCTTGCATGGAGCCCCAGGCCGAGGGAGATTGACAGTTATTTTGTGTTTCTTCCATTTGCGAATAATCGCACCAACTGTTGTCACCTTCTCACCAAGCTGCTTGGCAATGATCTTGTAGCCCATTCCAGCCTTGTGTAGGTCTACAATCTTGTCCCTGACATACTTGGAGAGCTCTTTGGTCTTGGCCATGGTGGAGAGTTTGGAATCCGATTGATTGCTTCTGTGGACAGGTGTCTTTTATACAGGTAACAAGCTGAGATTAGGAGCACTCCCTTTAAGAGTGTGCTCCTAATCTCAGCTCGTTACCTTGTATTAAAGACATCTGGGAGCCATAAATCTTTCTGATTGAGAGGGGGTCAAATACTTATTTCCCTCATTAAAATGCAAATCAATTTATAATATTTTTGACATGCGTTTTTCTGGATTTTGTTGTTGTTATTCTGTCTCTCACTGTTCAAATAAACCTACCATTAAAATTATAGACTGATCATTTATTTGTCAGTGGGCAAACGTACAAAATCAGCAGGGGATCAAATACTTTTTTCCCTCACTGTAAATCAGTCATGTCAAGAGACAATGAATCCATTTAGAATGACCCACGTAAGATACTTTTCACCGTAATAATTCAACAAAATAATTCCAATTTCCTTTTTGTGTCATGTTTTTTTTTACCCAGTAGGGGGAGCACTTTACAATGCACTCTTCAATGATATTTCCGTACGACACAGTGGGGGTTTTTTCTTCTTCTTCTTCTCAGAGCTAGGATTTATCCAAATCAAGTGGTAACATTTTTTGTTTTAATCCGATGGGTTTTCTGTGCATTCATTGGTGACTGGGCTGCGCCAATCAACTTGCAACGCTTGAGAACCTGGTCTCACCGCACAAGGGTGCCTGGATTTAACACCCAGGATTCTCAATGTTGCTGGCTCAGCGCCCTGACCTCTGAGCTACCCAGCCCACATTTTAACTGGGATATTATCTGAAACTCCCTCCAGGCGGCAGATCCTCACGATGGGAAACGACCGTATATACAATAACAGGGCAAAATAATACTTCCCGTGCCTCTCGTAAAGTGGATTTTTTTACAACCATAATGTTATAATAATCGTAATAATGTGGCCTTACAAGAAGACATGGAATTGGAAGATGAGATCAAATCCCAGTGGCCTGGACTCAACCCATTATCGCCCCCTCCGGAGTTGATAAAAAAAGAAACCTATCGCCACACATTGAGAAAAGTCAACAGTAGTTGCCGTCCTATGGAGATACTGCCTCCTGCAATAGGCGCATGGAATTTTCACGATTGGTCATCAGAGCCAGGGGACTCTTGTGACTTTTTGACTCGGGGGGGGGGAGGGCAAAGATCCACGATAATCTCATTTTGATTCGCGCTTCATTAACTTGATTTTCTCAAAATAAAAAAACAAGTTTCAAATATACCCGGTTCACGTTTTTGCAACAAAGGGATTTAAAAATCGGCTGACCTTTAAAGTTCATCGCGGCTTTTAAAAAAAAAATTCGACCTTTAAAACTTGTAGAGCAGATTGCATGGAAATCCATTATATATACCGTTTCACAACAAGCAATTATCTCCATTAAATATAATTGGCTTAAAAGAAAAAAAACAATTATACATTACTTCTCATTAAATATGTAATAATACAAGTGCAATTATTCCGTATGGTCAAATCAACGAGCAAAAATCACGCACATGCCAAGCAAATGTACCTAATTGCTTCCGTAATACTACCCAGACCTTAAATTCACTCCAAAATTTTTCAAAATACCATGGCCTCATTAAAAACAACGCTGGGTTCATGCAAGAACAGCGTTAGATGATTCCGCTAAAATAAACAAAATATTGCGCACGCTGCCAACACACAGCTCTCTCATGCGGTTCACATTCACCACTGCATCTGATAAGCCAGAGAAATGATAAGCCACTCGTGTTTAATTATAATCCAATGCACATGGTCGGTCCTAATGATCTTAATCAATGTTTGACGCAGAAAGTAAAATAACGAGAGCAAACACATACTAAGCACACTGTAAACTCATCACTGAGTGACCTGATTTATATTTATGCACAGACTTGCTTATCCAATTGTAACATGGAAGGAAAATTAATAAAATAACTCTCCCACCGACCGTACTTCCAACGTAATGCTTTCTCGAAATGCCTATAAATAAATCACCCAAATTGCACCCCATCTTGTCAAATCTCGGAATCTATGCCTGGTTGAGCCTGGATTGCGCTTCAATGGGTGGCCGCTATGCATAATAGGCGTTATAGACTCAACGTGAATGGAGGAGGCGGTTCAGTGCAGCAAATTGCATTGCTGTACTGTATTTGTATGCTCCTAATCTAAAGCGGGGGGGGGGGGGGCTTGCTCACCCGCACTCACCAATGTGATGAAGCATGGTAAAAATAAGCCAAATTGTACGTGCACAAGAATATGTGTTGGTCTTATCTTATTCTACACTTGTGGACGGCCTTTGATCAAGGCGTTTTAACATCATTTTAAAACGAATGTGTGGAAACAAATACATTATTTGGATGAGGAATGGGTGGACACGATGGAGGGCGTGTAGGGGTTAGGGGAGGGAAGGGGTGGAGGGGAGGGGGGAGGGAAGAGAATGGGCAATGGAGAAGAGGTGAGGCTTTGAGAGATGATCGGAAGGAGGTTACATCTGTGCCTCCAGCTCAGAGGGCCCATCGCAGTTATTCCTGACAGAGGGGAATGAGCGTGCAGAATACGTGGCACTGCAGTCGGAAGCGTGTTTCTTCGATGGATTTCAAGACATCCCAAGAGAAATGTGTACACGGAAGAACCCCCAATGGGAATAAATAATAAATATTGTCATTCCTTACCTAGAAATGCCTCACTGGCTCTTAAGACTGTTTTTTTTCAGAAGGGTCCTGCATTGGGATATTTGGCCAATTAAATTATCGAGCATTTGGCACATGGGAGAACCCGGAGAAAATCCAAGTGCATGCAGGGATTTACACTCGAGCATCGTCATCTCCCAGGGCCACCTCACGAAGCTCCACGCCTGCCTTAATTACCAGGCAAGGCCTGGTGGACACGCATCCAAGAACCAAGCAGTCTTAAAAGCTTGCTTGGCTTCCACGGTGTGATAAAAATCGCAACGCATGCACGGTTATTTTCTCCCATTGAGCACACGCAGCACTCGCTCGATCGTACGGGGGACGCAAGAACCATGACAGTCCCTTGGAGCAGTTAAACGGTTCGTTTACGAGCAACGTGTGGGAAAATTTGAACGAAATGATTGAGCGCATGTCGTGACGGACCACGGCGAGATCGGACCGTGTCCGTCCCGTGCTCGCCGAGCTGCGTTGGATTCCGAACCGATACGTTTTAAGGTCGTGCTCGTTACACACAAAAGTGCTTGCCACAAATGAACCGCAGTACCTTGCCGATCTTGTCAAGAAGCATAAAACGTCACTCCAATTTGGTGATCCTCGCAGGGCCTTTTGGCTAACGACTGAACAAAGACGTTCATCGCATCGCACACTTTCAGACGCGCTTCTGCTGGCGTCTGGAACGCTCTTCCCTTCTGATACTAGGAAGCCACTGGAGCTATGCCCTTTTAAATAAATTCGATTGAAAACTCATTTCTTTAGAACCGCTTTTTGTGTTTCCTTTGTTGTACTACCTCCACACCTCCGATGAGCTCGGTTGGCTACGTACGATGCAAAAGAAGTTCCACATACATACATACAAATGCCTACCTTGAAAAAGTTGGCCACGGAGTTCACGTGGTTGGCACAAGTGCCCTTCCTCCCATCGCTGACTCCCTCTCCGATCTGCCAGTCGGCAAAACGGCAACAGGAAGGAGGCAATTACTCGAGATGAAAACACAGAGAGGGCGCCCAGGGTCACGGTAATGAGCCACAGAAGCAAGGAATCTGCTGAAAACGCCCGCTTTTTCCTGGGATCATCCACAATTACTGTTATTATTTGGCTTTTCACGAGCATGCAAAAACGTATCTCTGAATATAAGAATATAAAAAAAATAACACAGGTGTTAAGATGTTAACACACCAAACTGAAACCTTTTGCAAGGAACCAAGTCTGCATTAACCACATATACTTGTGGTGAACATGCAAACAAAAACATGCTCTGATATTATATGCATTGTCTTTGAAACTGCATTCACAATGCGAAACTCGGAATTATTGAGGCCAAATACGACGCGTTGGCGATTACAGAACAATAATTCGTTAAACCCCGACTCAGTGACCCAAATATTCACATGTCTGTAACGACATCTCTGCCACCAGCACAATGAATTAATAAACGCACTTAAGTTATTCACGAAACAGGGCTAAGAGCTGTCAAGAGGTATGCAGCTGAGAAGTTCACATGAGGATATCAGTCTACCACATGAGAACACCTTAAAATACCACAAATAGTAATTTAGAGCCCTTGGCCCATCCACTGCTAGACTAAGGGGTCATTTGTTTGACTATTCTTTACCCAGTGCCGGTTATCAAATAATTAGGGGCCTAGGACCGGTTCAGTTTGATTACTCGCCACCGATGTCAGCCATGGCTAGGTGTTGAACCCGGGTCGCTGTGGTTCGTAGTGCAGTGCGTGAATCCGCTACGCCACTGCAACACGCCAAAACAACATACAGCAATAGCCCGGTTTACGTCAGGGATACACTCCTGAAAGGTGCGATGACGAATATGGAAACGTCAATCAAAGCGATTCACAGGGTAGGTGGTGGAGGCGAAGGCTGAGAGGCGACAGATAACGAGAAAGGACGGACGATGACGCTGTCAGCGACCTAAGTGTCGGCTTGAGGCAATGCAAATCAGGTCGTGGTGTTAATAATAAAGTGACGACGTGTTTGCAAAACGCCGTAAAAAGGGTGGCATGCCATTGGTGGTGGGGGGAGGACTGCAACCTGCCACCTTTGTCTCTCCAACAATTATCAGAGTGTTTTTTTGTTGGCATTTTGACCACAAGTATTGCGGTCAATGCAGACATGATTCCTTGTAAAAGGTTTCAGTTTGGTGTTTTAACAAATTAACACCTGTTCTGTTGCCAGATAAAACGGGAAAAACTCATTCTCATATTTAGGTACTGGCAAAGGAGGGCCCATGATGTAAATTTGCCTACTGCTCGTGTTGTGCATGTCGAGGAATTGAATGTGGGTCACTGTGACTGTACAACAGAGCGTGAACCGCGAGCTTCATTGCACGGTGGTGAGATGTTAACCAACTCGCTTGGCATTCAGGAGTTCGCGGGTTCAATCCCGAACCTGATGCCTGCTGTTTTATTTGGATTTAGCGTGTTCTCCCCGTAGTCGCGCGGATTTTTCTTTGGGTCCTCCGGTTTTTCCCTCCCCATTTAGAAACATTTGTTTGAGAGTATTTAGATTTCCACACGATAAGCCACTTCGTTGAGTAACCCATTTGTGGCCAGGTCGCTTCAGACAAAAGAGCTACACAGCTCAGTGGGCCTAGCCTGGTAAAATAAAAAATAGTTTAGTTTCGTTTAAAACTGCACATATTGCCGAGTAGACGCGCACGCTCGGACCACTCACCCAATTGATGAGGACGTATTTGCAGAGGCCAGCCTTTGAGTCTTTAACCTTGCAGAAGGCATACATCACCTTGCCGCTATTGAGCTCCTCCACCATCTCCTCCAGACCGTTTGCTGCGCACGGCAAACCAACAGACACGTGTTTTCACTTGCCACGTGCGTGTTCACGGACAATATTACGATGCAGAATTGTAATTTTGTTTGGGTCAGGCAATGTAACTAACTGGCCAAATTTGTGTCGTTAAGACCCAGCGCCACCTGAGACGGCCAAACAAATTAAATTGTCACGTGGTGTACAAGCAAAGTACGATTGTTTCAGCTGACCGGTAAGTTTGAAGAGCCATTCTCAAATTTGTTTTCAACAATAAGACACGACGTTCCGCTGGAATCTACGTCAAGCATGGCAACAGCTAAACATGGCAAGAGCCAAGAAGGACAAGATCCAAGAAGTCGGAATAAAAACAAATGCAGGAAGTGAGACAACATGTGTTTTAGAACGACACAACACCAAACCATTCGACTCTACAGGGTGACTCACGACAAAAAGATTTTAGTTTGTTTTTGTAAATGGTGTGTGTGAAAACAACAAACTTATTTATGTAGACGTGAATTCACTTTCTGGACGGATGGCATCATAGAGCTCAACTCAAAACAGGAGGCTTGCGATATTTAAATCCCAGTCAGAAGGAGACTCGGCTAATCATCCTGTCAGAGTTATTGAAATAATAACGGCTTTGTGAGAAGTTAACAGTGGCCATCGATGGAGGGATTGTCCCCTAACCATGGGAAGATGTCATTTTTCACCAGGGACACAAGCGAGGATGTATAAATGTATGTTGGACCTCTTTTGCACCGTACGTAGCCAACCGTGCTAATTGGAGCTGCGGCTGAGCACCACCCATATCCGCCCGGCACGTGGTATTTTAGGAGGCATTCGGAGGACTAAAATGTGAACTTCCATTCCCTCAGAGACTCTGGCACAAAAGGCCAGCGAGGCATTCCACAGCTGATTGATCGATGGCAAAACAATCAACGATACGTGGGGGGGAGAAATACTGCCATTAATCTTGCATTCGTGGTTGATACAGTTGCTTAAAACAGAGAAATAAACAACGCAGATAATAAATAATATACAAAAACGCCACAATTTCTGGTGTAAAGAAAAGAAGACATTTCATTTAAACATAGTAATGTTTGTAATAAAAGATATGTGGCAATAGCTTAATCGCGATTTGCGACTAACAGTAGCACATGCCGGATGCTGAAACAGAAATCGTTGCTATCTAAGGGTTACGTTTAAAATAACATATATTAACAAGTATTTTTTTATATTCTTAGTTTTTTCGGTAAAGTCACGTTGAAGAGAAACAACAAAATAACAAAACATATATAAAACAATAAAAAATTCTCACGACGTTTCGACCATAACTCAAACGGTCATCATCAGGTGTGTCGGTTTGCATAAATTTATTTTTAAAACGGCACATTTATTTATTTATAAAAAACGTTGGCGTCACGCGCAGCGATTGGCAGTTTGCCCAGGACTAGTCCATCTATTTTTTTTTTAAAAGAGGAGGGGGGAGACGAAATTTTTTATAATGTATGCAAAAATTTCGTCTCCCCCCTCCTCTTTTAAAAAAAAATAGATGGACTAGTCCTGGGCAAACTGCCAATCGCTGCGCGTGACGCCAACGTTTTTTATAAATAAATAAATGTGCCGTTTTAAAAATAAATTTATGCAAACCGACACACCTGATGATGACCGTTTGAGTTATGGTCGAAACGTCGTGAGAATTTTTTTATTGTTTTATATATGTTTTGTTATTTTGTTGTTTCTCTTCAACGTGACTTTACCGAAAAAACTAAGAATATGAATTACTGCAGTCACGAAAGCTTTAAATCAAAATTTAAGTATTTTTTTTGCAAAAGACGAACATTCGAGTAAACAGCGATTACGTGCGATGATAGATCGTCGCCGGGTTGATAAAAGAGAATAAAAAAAACGTTTTGAACGAGGTCTTGTTTATTTCATTTAACGTTTATATAATCTGAGACTTGGGTCAGCAAATGTCAGAGTGGGGCCTTCTGTAATAACACGCTACGTGCCCGGTCGTCGTCGTCGGCCTGAATGCAAATGCGAGGCGGTGGAAACGTGCACGCGATTAACTGCCCTAAATCCCCACGGAGGAATTACTGTCACGATTTTCTGAAGTGTGCTAAAACGAGCAAGAAAGAGGCCTCTTAGTGAATTTTACTGGGTCAAAAGCTATGACGCAAATACTAATTTCCCCTCCTGCCTGCTGCCCTCTGTCCACAGACATCAAACCTCACTGCCCCAATGCTGTTAAATCCCACTGCATCGCCACGCCTCTCTCACTGGAGGTCTTTTCTCTCACTTTCTGACGACGTAATCACGATAATCGCTTGACCTCTTGACGTATAAATCAGTGACACATTTTACACAATCCGCACCGCTGTTGTGTTTTTCAGTATGTAAAGCTACACAGTGTGCACACAAACATATATAAACAACAAATCAAGAGTTACATGGCATATAAGTGGTACACTCAAATTGGTATCACTTCATAGGAAATCTACAGTTTGCTTTCACATGATGATACAGGCCAAATGATAGGAATGTGGCACTTCCAGCAATGGTCCAGGCCTACCAAGAGAGATGAGCACATCTGACACTGAGGTAGGGAGACACTTTGACGTTTGACGAGCCATGAATATCAAACAGTGCAGGGTTATAGCAAGTTGACAAGCTACTCTACAAAGGACGCTTCTCTTTAGCTGGGGGGGGGGGGGGGGATGCAGGTCTAGAGATGAACACACAAAACACGAGCAGTCGCACAAACGGATATGCATGCCAGGCACGCGCTTATCAAACCTTTACACAGCATGACACATTTAAACCAAAAATATATATTTTTTGTTAATAATTCATTTCTAATCTTACCAGAAAGCTATACAGATCTGGGCACTGATGTTGGTAAGCTGCATGGTAAGTTTTTGTAGTGACTAGTCCAGGGGGTTTTGAGACTTTGCCAAGAAGCAGACCTGTGACCAAACATTCTGAAGCGGCAACCTACGGAAGATTAGTCCTGAGGCTCGCCAAGACTTTTCAAACCGCACAAAGAAATAGCAGCATTATACAAATTTGCTGCATACACAAACACGTGCACACGGTCACCTACATCTTCATTCTGCTGTGTTAAGGAGTCTGGAGACCTTTTTTTTTACACAATGAACAAAATACTACTGTACACTGTTTAGACTATGTCTGTAAATCCCGCCCGTGAAATGTGTTCACCCACAACATGGAGTGGAAGGAAAACATTCTCTGCTGGACTCGGCCCAGAGATTCCACCTCAACCATTGAACAGCTTCAGGAATCTCCACAGCACTGTGTGGGGGTAATGTCCTCTAAAGTTTAGAACCGGGAACATGTAAATCAGGAGTAAGCAGCAGAATAAAAGTGAGCTGAAATGCCACACTAAACAAAATTAACTGAAGGTGCAACCGTGCATTTACTGACTAAAGCCACTGCTGGCGGAGAGGCCTACGCTAGAGGGAGTTCTGGAGAGCAATTTGGTTTACTCTTCCAAGCCAAACATCTTGGAAGAGGTGAGAGTACCCATGCTTTACCCCCCCCCACACACACACACGACCCACGTGTGTGTGGGGGGGGTAAAGCATCTGTGAAAACTACAGCTTCATAGCTCATCGGATTCCTCCAGTGTAAATACTCATTCTGATTCTGAACTGTGCCGTAACAACTTCTGCTGCTGGGTGGACAGAGGCTGGGGTGGTGGGGGGAGGATTTGAGAAACCTTTCTGCATTGTTTCAACTGCAGCGCCGCGCCACGAGGATTGAACCAGTGGACCTCTCGATTCCAAATCCAGTGTGCTCGCCAATTCAGCAAGGCAGCAAAAACAGTAAAGAAATTAAATTCGGCAGACAGAATTGCTCGGTGAACACAAAAGGCGTAGAGTTTGTGTCACGTTTGAAATCTAAACGTGCAATCTGTTTGCATTTTTAAGGTTCAACGTGCACGAGCCACAACCTTCTGCCCTTCCCAGATGCCAGGAGTCCTGAGTTGAGGCTTCGGGCCTACGCAATTTCTGTGCCTTTGACCGGGGCTCTTATCAACTAAAAAAAAAAACTTTTAAAAAAAAGGTTCAACCTGGACACGTACAGCTTACGGTTGGTTACGATCAGAAGCAAATGACAATTGGGCCGTTTTTATGAAGGCGGATAACGAGAGCACGGTGATATTCGTCTTGATGGGCGGCTGCACAAGGACGATTGATTTCCAGCATTTCTGCCCCGCACCGAGGTGCACTTGAGATGTTGCGCACTGATCAAAACCTCTTGACTGAAAAAGCTGAGATTCTCAACGAGCCTGTATATCCGCATGGTTTACCAAATGAGCGTGGTAATTTTGCATGTGCTCGGTGTGACATTGTCATGGGTGCGAAAAAGTAGCACCAGGAATACATTTTGAAATCAAATTAAGTTTAAAAAATTTGTGCAACTAAAATTCACGCAATTACTTCATTATTTAATCGATGAAAACCAAATTTTAAACGAATGATAAATGGTTTTACATATAACACCATGGGGTAATAAAACTGTCAACTTGTATTTATCCTATTATAAGACTTGCAATCCAGAGGTTGCCTGTTTCATCTCTCGGCGCGGGAGTTGAACCAACGTTAAAATATTTTTTTTAAATCCTCCCCGCCCGCCTCCGTCCACCCAGCGGTGCACATTGGGCACCACCACAGCGAGTCGATCGCCAGCTCCCGTGTGAGTAGTTCCATCTCTTCCAAAGATGCCTCGCCAGCATCGAAGTGTACACCAGATATACCTGCTGAAGCTCGCTCTAGTGGGAGGCCCATTTGCAGCAGTTGTGCGAGCAAGCTATTGCAAGGGGCTGCACTTTTTACTTTGAATTATCGTTGTATGTATGTATGTTGAACTTCTTTTGCACCCCGTACGTAGCCAACCGTGATAATTGGTAATGCCAATGGCGGAGCCAGGATTTTCAGGTAGAGGGGGGGGGGCAACCCCTCCAGCAATGAAAAATGATAGAGGAGTTGTTAGT